AGTGTAGAGGCGGGAGGAAGAGTCGAAGGAGGAATTGAAGGCCGACCAATTCCACGAGTCATTATAATCGGACACAAAGGGCTGAATGGGCTGGTTCTGGTTACTATATGCCATCGTTGGAACAAGAGAAGGCTTTCTAGAGGCCGACAGGCAGAAAAGACTGCTATCGAGTCGAGGAGGAAGAGGGAAGGACGAGCTGTACGCGTTTACGTGCTTGTGACAGTTGTGACAAGTCGCGTCAAAGGCTCTTCGAACGTGGTGGCTTGGCGAAATAAAATTGAGGTTATTTCCAAAAATTGAAGCAGTTACTCTTTGTGCACACATGATACCAGAAATGTATTTTCCGAAACATAGTAAGAACCAGTACCAAAATCACGTCCATTGATTTTCAAATCAATCAATTTATTCTTCCTCGATATCCTCTTCGACCCCACCCATGAGAGAAATATTGAATCCCAGTTTCTCACCAACAAAATATGCTCCTTCGTCCCCAATCGGAATCATTGCAACCCCCGCCTGTATTTGAGTGATATCAATCACCTCCAAGGCTTCTTCACCGAAGTAATCGCATTGTGCCACAGTACCAAAGGACTCTTGCAATAAATCGGCATCTGGGTCTGAATAAACCGAAACCAGGGCAAGAGATTTGGTCTCGCTTGTCCTATTAATTTTGGCTTGGAAGAAGAATTGTACTTCGGCATAATGCATGTGATCGTCGTCCTCGGCACAATACTAGATCAAGAGCATAAGAAAATGAGCGGAGAAGAAGAGGTCTAGAAATTTACCTTGACATTTCGAGCAAGTCTTGGACTTGTTAGCTGGGACTCCTTCAACACGGAGCGAACAATCTGTCCATTTGGCAACCGCAGACGACCCCATCTCGCAACACGTGGTTTCCAACCCTCTTGTGCCGTTTCGCCCTCTTCTTCCTCAAAGTATTCCCGGATTGTTGTGCCGTATATCCCCTCGATGGTCTGGCAGTACTCGTCACGCGGTCTGAGAAGGACCAAGCCATTTTCCAGGTTGAGGGAGCCGTGAGGGAGGGGCTTCTCTGGCGCGAGAGCAGGGATCATGGCAGTGAGTGCATTTACTCGACATCGTCTCATCCCACGCTGAGAAAGATTTGCGTATGGGTTCGAATGCTGCTTGATTTCCTCGCCCAGATTTCCGATCGTTCTTTCCAATGTCCACTGGCTGCGATATCCTCCGGGACCGATGCGGATTGTCTCAGGGACAATGTGAGGCAGCGCATGAATACTTTGGCGACAAAAATGGAGGCGTGATGCTTTGCGCTGATAGTAGAGCACCTTGAACTCCTCGGCAAATTCACAGAATAATCTGTGGGCAAGAATAAGTTGCTCGCGAGGGATTTTACGCTGCCATACAATCCGCAACCCTGCAACGAACTTGCAAAAGTGTGTCCAGTATTTCTCAGGGAGGATGTCGCGAAGGAGGGCGGGGCAAAGGACATAGAGATATGTCAGGAACTCCTGGGCTTTGTATCCACTGTTCATCTTCTCAGCTGGATTCCGCGGCGGTCTATCAAAACAGCCTGGAAGGTATTTTGTGGCTCGGGCGACATCTTCTCCATGAGTTTTCCAAACATCGCCAACGAGAACAGCCCAATCCCAGCTGTCTTTGTCGTCGTTGGGATCGCATGGTAGTGTACCACGCCACAGGGAAATCAGAAGATCTGGGATATTGAGGGCAAAGAGGTGCATGAAATCGGAGGAGAAGCATCGTGGGACTGGGAATATCCGATCGGGAGGTAGGCCACTGAAAATACTCGGTCCGACAATACCTGAGAACAGTTTGATTAAGAATGAAGATAGGAAGACAAAGAATTGAATACCTGTTTCGAGTCGGTTCTCTTGATGATCTGTAATGGTCGGGGAAGAGAGTACTTTATGAAGGCACGACTCATATTCCTCGACATTGACGGTGAGAAGGTGCCGACAACTAACATCATCGTGATTGGAGCCGGGGATGTCGTAGTTGGTAGGCTTGAGCAAAGCGGGATAATAATGAGTACCTTTCCTCCGGCCTTTGACGGAGCAGAATTGGCGGCAGCCATATGCCCCCATATGCCCTGTCATTCCATCCAAATCCGTCATCGCCGGCCCATCCGCTGTCTGGAGCAATGAGAAGAGAAAGGAACAATGGATTTTCCTCTCGATGGCGTCCCAAATGAGAAGCCCTTCCCGCATCAATGCTGCCAGATGGTATAGACCGGGGAAAAGGAATGAATTCGTCTTGATTATTGGCTTTGGTCCGGGGATAAAAGAGCCGGGATAGACACGTATTTTCTTGTAGTGTATATCGGGGCAAAGATCGGCAACAATCCAGATATAGATCCAGCAATTGGAACCCTTCATCGCATAAAGCTGGGCCCCGTCGATTGAGAAAATGAGGACCATATCTTTCTCCTTGATTTTACCATCCTTCACAGCACGAATGTAGTCTTCGCCCGAGAAGAGGTCATCATATTGCTTTAGGACACCGTCATTCGCCTCCAACTCGCGCAGTATTTCTGCGGTCTTTTCTGACCTGTAACGCATTGCTTTTGCGTCCTTCTCGCTTCGCCACAGCGCCTGCAGCTGGGGACCGAGGGGAATGGTGTGATAGATCTTTCGTGAAATTTTGGTGACACCACCGCTATCAGCGAGCCGTTGCGGATCCCAACGTGATTCACCGCATTCCGAGCATGCATCTGCATCTGCCCTCGGGCCAGTGAATGTGACGCAGGAATTGACACACATATCATTAACGATGGAGACAACACCAGTGAGTTCGGTGATTTTTGGGAGAGCATGGCGCAATTAGGAAAGCGGCGCATTATGTTGGCGCGAACATCGGTATAAGCCTTATCCGAGGCATTCGTGAGAGAAAGAAAATTTTTGATGGAGAGGAGGAGGTCGGGATCGGCGTCGACATCAAGAACTTCTTCAATGGGATTTCTTAGGCGGTGAAGTGTGTCCGCATCGAGAGCGCTATCATCGAGAGACGCGGTTTTCAAAAGGTCGATGTATGACTGATCTATTTTCAAATTATCGAGAACAATTTTGGGAGGGCCGCGTGGAAGCGGGATGTGCGGGGGCGGAGGAGCCGGAGGAGCCTGCTCTGCAGGTTGTGGCGGAGATGGTTCTCGCGGGGAATTTCCACCTAGGAAAAAATCGGGATCTGGGGAATTTTGGTCATCGTGATTGGATGTGTTCTGGGGACGGGTAGGGTGCAAGAGAAAAAAAGAAAACAGTAAGACTGTGTGCCGAAGGGAAGAAAAAACGAAGCTTTTACCTCCGCTGGTCTGTGAGATTTTTTCTTTCATTTTTGGGACGAGCCGGCGCCGGCGTCATTTTGGGGTGCAGGTCTTTTTCCTCTGACAAACACGGTGCCTTCGAAGGCTCCCAACGGGACGAATTGGCAGGTTAGACGGTCGGGAGCATGTCTATCAAAAGTCCGTTTGGAAACGGGTTTCCCGCCTTTGCAGTACGCAGTGCAGGTGCACCAGTGTGAAAGTGTGTCGCCATCGGCAGGTTCTGTCATTAATATTACGCCGCAGATCGCATGTGGCTGTCGCGCACAACGAGAAAAAGAGAATGTGGCAATGACGGAAGCAAAAGATGTCGTCAAGCAGTGCAAAAATGTGCTCTTGTTTTTGATCTGGCTCGATTTGGCTTGACGGGCTCGATCTGGCTCGATCTGGCTTGCTGTCGTTTTCACTGGGGGTCAAGTCCTTGGTTCGGCGGACAGCAGGCATGGCGCAGGAGCAACGCATAGTATTCTCATGTACTGATTTCACAGAAGGCAAGTGTTACATGTGTCAGGTCACTGTGACATGATTCTAGAGAAACAATTCTAGCCGAATTCTAGAGTACCCGATCAGGCCCTAAATACGACGGAAACACAATGTGTTCCCCAAAGGAAACTCCGGTATACGGTGCTTGAGGCTGCATATTGCAAGTTCGCAGTGGGGCAGCAGTAACAGACATCACCCACTGTACAAAGAAAACAAGGGGCCCTCAAACGTCGTCCGATACTTCTGGCTACAGTATACCATATACCTTACCATCTCCAGTCTGGTACATATTTCACTATTAATTTTCACATTCATTACCTTCCCGCTCGTCAATCATCCTTGCTACTCTGCCGCCTCAGTGGCTGTCCCGACTTCTTCTCCCCTTGACCCTGTCACCGCTCCTGTCTGTCGGAAAAAAGCCATCTAGCTTGCAACAGCATGTTTCCGCATGTGACCTTGTGACAGGTTCAGAGTGCTTAGAAGGTTAACACCAGGCCTCTGAACCAGTTTCAAGCAGTCCCAAGCTGCACGAAGGCCTGCTGCGACTCCCAAGCTGTCCTATGCTGTCTCAACAAATCACCTGGTTATTTCCGGATAGCCGAGACGTACGGAGCTAGGTGGGAGCAGCAAACTGGTAGCTCAAACAAGGTACATAACTCAGTTGACGTCCTTCGAACATTTGTGTACTATGTAATGCGTGCTTGAATGTCTAGTTGTAACAGATTTACCGTATATGAATGACTTGTCTAGTAGATATTTGAAGTAATAAATACTGGATATTAATTAACATACATACATTAATGCAGCTGCTTGCATACTGACTGACTGAGTAAGTACATATTTTTATTATTATTTCCAAAGCTTTGATGCCCTGAGGCATGGTAAACCTTGGAACCATACCCTTGTCTTAGAAGTGGTTGGAGGATTCTGAACTGTGCGTTGGAAGCCAGCCAAAACCATTTGGGCATGCATTGGTTTGGAACATGTTTAAAGCCGATCAAAGCTGAATGGGATTTTTCCGACATCATGGCCGCAGCTTCAACCACTGTACTTACCTTCGACTCACGAAGCTGGAGTTTCCTTTTGGGGAACACGAAGTTTACATCCTTTTTTCTTGTCATGTTTCCATCTTGTCCCAACCAAAAAAAAAGTTACTACAGTAGAGTGGGAGCAAAAAAAAAAAAAGCATTCGTAACTCCGAGGATACCCCAAGCAGGAGTTGAACCTGCGTCACCTCAGATCACTCTTCATCAATCAGGCATAACAAGAGAGGCTGGTCTACCGCTGACCTTTGGAGCTTCTCTAGTGCTGTAGTGGTATCCTGAGATACCTGAGTTATTGACATCCCAGTATTGTCCTAGTGTGTGTTTACATGCAAGCAGTCACATCACTCCTTGATCACTCCAACTTTTTCTCCTTGCCCCCTACTCGCTTGCTCGCTCGATTTGAGTATAGCTGTCCTGTTCCTGGCTTCAAAAATCTCCCCCCACCATCCCAGTTTCTTTGTTACTCAATGGGCATCTGGGATAGCCACTAGTGGATGCAATAGAAATTTATTTGCAAGCCCAGTTGGCACAAATATCATTTTATGTGTGCCCCTCTGGTAGGGGCATCCGGGACTGCCACATGCATCAGCCTGAGAAATTTAGGAACATGCACATTTGGCTGGAATAAAATTTCATGTGCCCTCGAGCTGCAGGCGTCCAGGACGGCCATTAGCAGAGGCAAAACAATTCATTTGTGCCTGCACAGTCAGGTGCAATAGAATTTATCTAGCGGCAATATAATTTTATGCCTGCACCTCTGAGAGAGAGGTATAGCATGGAGATATACTCTGCTTCAAAAGCACACCATGTTGGATAGATAATCATGTTCCTACAAAACAAGAGAAAGAGAGTATGGCATGGGGAAATAATCCTTGCTGCAGTGATGGGTGTCTGGGGCGCCCATCGGAGAGAGAAGTATAGCATGTATATTATTTGCTTCAAAAGCACACCATATTGGATAGATACTATAATACACCTAATTTTTTTCCTTCAAAACTGGAGAGAGGGCATAGCATGAGAAAATAGTGCTTGCTACAGGGACACCCATCCAAGATATTATACTAGAGTATGGTGTGGGAAAGTAGTACTTGGACTAGTGATGGGTGTCTGGGATGCCTATCAGAGTAAGGGGGCATAGCATGGGAAAATAATGCTTGCTGTAGCCCAGACACCCAACAGAGAGAGGGGGCATGTCAGCACAGAGCAGATTCCGGGTTCTGAGGTGATGAGGACAACTGAAGCACGAAGAGTTCCAATGAATAAGCCTGGAGTTTAGACTAGAATAGTGTAAAGTACAGGGAATTAACTACAGCTTATCTACTAAAGTCCCTAGGGGTTGTAAATTAAGGTACAGTGTCCAACAGCAACGGACAAGATTAATGCGAAGTAAATGAAGGGGTATATGAATGTAGAGGGGCGATCAGGAACCCGAAGGTTGGGGAACCGATCGAAACCGTTAGGGATCCTAAAACAGTATCCTGGTTTGATTGATCAGATAGTTGATCTGATCAATGATCAGGTTGTTCAGGTTGTTCAGGTTCTGGAAGTAAAATGAAAAGATGATTCATGACACAGATGCACAAGTGACTGGCGGATGTATCCGATGTTGTTCCCCAAGTCGAATTTGTGTCAAATCAAACCAAGATAGAAGCAAATATTGGATAGAAGTGGTGCCGTGAAGCAGCTAGCGGGGAGCGGCCCAGGGTAGGTACACCAAGCAGAGGATGGGGTGGTGGTATCCCCAGGAGTGTGTTTCCAAAAGGGAGCATAGCAAGGTGCGAGAGGTAGGTACTGGCACAGGATCCGGCGGCGGGCACGGCCATCCGAGGGCGGGGCAGGGCGGGGTGATGGTATCCGCCAGGTGCGCATGTTTCCCAAATGGGGACATGACGCATATGACGTACTACTTTGGCGGAAGGGCGGAAGTAGGCCTCTTAGGGGATTTATGTTCATACAACATAAATACCCGAAGAGGCCTTTTACTTAATTTAGGCGGACCTCCCTTAGGTGAAAAGTATAGAGGGTAGAGGGCTTTTTGCTGGGAAAGATTATCAGTATATGGTGCAACCACTTCTTTCCACTGAGTACGAAGTCTCGCATGGCAGGTACCTCAGCCAATTCTCTCCACATCTGCGCTCCTCGCTGCATGTATTCCTCCGTTGAAATACCCGGAAGTGCTTTCAAGACTGCAATGTAGCGACAACTGGCCTTGTTGACGCACATTGCATTTGAGGCTCGAAAATAAAACAGGGTCGGTCTAACTCCCATCGCTTGCTGTAGCTATCTTAGGTGACCTTCGATTCTCATGCGCCCTTCCAAATCAGTAACAATTTCCTTCAGATTTCCGCAACAGATCCTACATGAGGCAAGAAGCACCACCTTCGTCAACCGTGCGTGCGCACGATATCGGCCGTGAAGACCATGCTTCCTTCCCCAATTCCCATCTCTTTTATCCCTCGTTGAACAATCTCCTTGAGGTTGGGGTCCCGTGCAATCTGGCGAGGCCGTCAATTGCAACTCAAAGGACTGAGCTTTGAGTATACCTTGCGCATGTCCTCGATTGTCTGGGTCTCCATATCAGCACCTTATATATTTCCAAGACCTAGAATGCGCAAACCTCTGCTTCCCCTATGAGCAGTGCGACGCGATCCTCTGTTGGGAACCCGAGCTCCCGGATTTCGTCGTCGAATTCCTTGTTCGCAAGCGACTACAAACTGTTAATCGGGAGTTCATGGTCAGCAAAATCAAACGCACCACCTCCTTCCACTTCATGTGCTTCTGCAACGTCGGCACTTTCGCCAACTGCCGGCCCATTTCAGCAAACCGCGACATGAACTCTTCCGTCGAGAGGTCCGCGGGCGCTTTGAAGACGCCAATCCAGCGACAGGGAGAGCTGTCGACTGACATTGTGGTGGGTTGTGAAAATAGGTGGTAACTCTGGTGAAGAGCCCGTTTGTCTTGACATGGAGTTGAGCAGCTGATAAGTCACGAGTTGCGGTGATAATCTTAGCGCTGTACGGATCTACTGCGTTTCAATTTCTCCTGGGACCACCCGGCACAGCCAGCACCGCGAAATGTCGAATGGACTTTACTTCCAACTTCGATACATACCTGGATAAATTACTGAGTATAAAACAGTGAGCGGCTAACTTCGGAACACAGATTTTCAAAACTTCCGATCATCGTCTTCTAGATACGCTTTCTATGTCCGATGCATGTCACACATGGACATGGAGATGTCTAAGTATGTTAGACATGATAACCCTCGGTGTCGTATCAAAGATACTTCTAGGGAGTGGAGCTCGACATGGGTACCGAAATTTCTTACCTCCTTTACCAGTGGAGAAGTATCTAACGGATCAATAGATACTAGCTCCACTTTTCTGCGAATCCTAGGGTAGATTCGCCGGTCTCCCTCGTCATCTGATACGCACAGCTCGCTTCGCTTCCAGCTATATCTTGCCGGATCCCCGTTTATTCGGATTCAAGCGTCACTCTTGACTCCAAGGCGAAGGCGGCTTTACAATAGGGGAAGTCAGAGTGGACACAACTGAGCTGAAACTGTGGCAAAACTCGTGTCGAAACTAATTCGAAACTGAGTCGAGTTATGGTCCAGTTTCGACGATCTCAGTTTCGAAACTGTTTCGCTGTTTCGTGCAGTTCCTCCTCTGGATGAGGAACTCGGACAAAATCGAATGCAAAACTCAGGCGAAACTATCTTTTCGCAGATCAAAATCTTTGGATGATGCCAGAATCGAAGCTAGAATTGTTGCGCAGTTTCGGTCAAAAATCAAAGCGATTCTTCGTCGAAACTTGACACAAAATCAGCTCAGTTTCGAGGTCAGTTTCGTGTCAGTTTCGCCCGAGTTTCGTCCACTCTGACTTCCCCTATTATAGCATTATATAGACTTCATGTCGCATCAACTCCTCGATATTCATCCCTCCTCTCTCGCTCTTCCTCACACTCCATTTCACCTCGATTCTTTTCATATTTTATGTTTATCTGCATTTCTCTGCGCAGCAATCCAGACTGCCAGCTAAAATCACCGGCCCATCGCGAACCTCATCCCAGGCATGTTCCTGTAACGAACGTGCCTCGCGCGTCACAACCATTTTCTTTTTTGGAACAAGTGACTGATCGCGTGGCATGGATTCCCTTTCACCTCCAAACTCTATGACCCAACTCTCCAACACGGGGTGCCTCATTTCCATGATTTATTCCAGACCAACCATCGCACTCGTGGCAAATTTGAATTTCGCTTATGATGTTCTTGACATTTTCTACGCGTTCCGGTTATGCGTCCATGAGTTTGTTTTGGGGTCCTCATTTCTGCTAATTGCCTCTTTGTTTGTCTTATAGCTCCGTGGCGAGTCGGGAGATTGCAACAGCGAGCTTGGCCACGGGATGATTAAGAAGTTCCGGAACCATAGCATATATTGGTGTCTGTATGCTCAGTTAGTTCTTGTGCCCCGGTGTTCCTGACCGCGATAGTGGCGTGTAATTCTACCGTTACGTACGTACCGACCTTTCTCACTCCAACTTAAGCAAGTGAAATAAAGGGATGAAGTGATCCGGTGAAAGCGCTGTGACCGAGATGTTCCTTTTTATTTCAGAGCAGAGGAATAAGCCATTTCGGTAAGCTAAAAAAGTGAACTCCCCTCTAGTCCCTTGAAGCATAGATCTTCTCAACATAACCTAGGTTTGATGTCGCGCTTGCCGTGACGAATCAGGGAGAAGGGAACTTCTTTATTCCGGGGTGTATGTTATTGCGTCTGCCATGGGTATGGAACCTGATTCACGAGACTTAAATGTCTGTCATGTCTTGGAGTTCTGGCAGCGTTATTGGGACTAGGCCCCACAGATTCACACTGTACACAGGCAGAGAATTGCCGTATGACCATAGTTAAAACGAGTGCCCGCTCGCTAGTCGCAACAGGTAGGTGGCTAGGATGACTCGGACACCGAGCTTCCAACTAAAATTCCATCCTCTCGCCCGTGTGATCGATGGTGCCGAAAGTGGCATGCCATCAGCTTACGGTAGGCGAGAGCTACGCGGTTCGATTCAAATCAAGAACCGCGGTTCGGCTGTGATCTCCGGCGCATTCCGATACCCACCGCCCGCCTCTTGACCCCACCACAGCCCCGCTCGTCCTGAAGCCGCCGCCGCCGCCGCCGTCGCCATCGTCGCCACCGCCATCGCCGTTGTGCCTTTAGTGCCTCCTCCCGCCTTTTGCTGCGATATCTATGCCCA